GTCTGGCGGCGGTGACGCCACGAGCTGACTCACTGGGCCCCGGTCCCCGGTCTGCAGCCGCTTGGCCATTTATAGAATCCGCGCGGACTCTGAAGTCACAGCCCTGGCACGACGGGGGCGGGGTAGGGAGCTCTGGGATCGCCCCCCACGGGGCAGCCCAGGGTCCCCCGAAGGGGCAGCCCTTTTTGGGTCTGCCTCGTCCCTCGGATCCTGGGTCTGGCTGCCTGTCTCTCGCGGCCCTAACGTCTCTTCTCCCTCCCCGTTATCTCTGTCTCTGTATCTGTTCCAGGCCTCTGGGTAGATTAGGGGGAGGCAGCGGGAGGAGCTGAGCACCCCCAGGACCAACCCCATCACCGCCCACATCCAGACCTCTGCTCGGCCCCATCTGCCCTTCCCTGGCTCTGGCCGTGTGCCTCAGCTTCCCATCTAAGTGAGAAGAAGGGATTTCCTAAGGAACAGTTTCCTGGAGAATCCAAGACAGTCTTTTATTATTTTTTTTTCTTTTTATTATTATTTTATTATTATTTTGTCCCAGTTTTGTTGAGACAAGGTCGGGCAGGTCTGGAAACAGTGGTGAGATCCTCCTGCCTCAGCCTCCAGAGTGTGGGATAAAAGGCATGAGCCACCATGCCTGACTGCAGGACACTCTTGAGAGGAAAACAGGTGCCTCCCCTCAGCCTTTGGGGACTCCTGCTTATCTTGGCAGCCTTTCTCTGCCACCATCCTGGCCTGGTTTCCCTCCCTCATGGCTTCTGTTTCCAGAGTGACCTCACAGTACAGGCCAGCACAATCTCCCTGAATCTGCACCACCGACCTCTCAGGCTGGAAACTCTCAGATCTGATTCATGGGTGAGGAAATGCAAGATTCAGAGAAGCCAGACCACTCCTGCTGGGTCACACTGCTAGCGCCATTCCTTCCAGATTCTTCTAGATTAGTTCCAAGTTTGTTCCTACCTCAGGGCCTTCACAACCAAAGGAAAGGCAGAATTTCCCAACACCTTCTGGGCTGAGGACAAAAGAGGTGAGGGGAGGACTTTACATTTCTATTTCTCCTCCCCCTAAAACAGCAATTAGGGCAGTGGGAGAGGGGGTTGAATCTGAGGCTGTGCAGCCGGGGTTCTTCCTGGCGGTTCTAGCTTTGCAAGGTGATTTGTAGAAAAAAACATCTGGCTGAGCAGTTTTGGTTTTGTTTGTTTGTTTGTTGATGACTTGAGACGGGGGTCTCACTATGTAGCCCAGGCTGGCCTCAAATTCATAGTGATCGTCCTGCCTCAGCCTCCCGAGTGCTGGGATGACAGGCATGCGCCACTGTGCCCAGCTTGTTATGCCTCTTTGACACCACCTGTAGATCACAGCCTTTCATTAGATTGAGGTTTTTGCATTGCTGGGAAGAAGAGCAGAGAGGTGATCATGTTCCTTTGCAGTTCTCATAGGAGGCCCTTTGTGATGTCATTAAGAGACTCATCGCTGGTGATATTAACCTTCCTCCCGTGGTTAAATCGATGCCAGGATCCTCCACCGTGAAGTTATTTTTGGAAGCCCCGCCCCCCCAGCACTGGGCCTTCACAATGAGCTACATCCTCGGTATTTTTAATTTTTTTCTTTAGTTATAGGTCTTGCTAAATTGCCCAGGCTGGGCTCCAACTTTGATCCTCCTGCCTCAGCTTCCTAGAGTGCTGGGATGACAGGCGAGCACTACCACACCGGGGTTGAGGATATTTTTCTGAGGACTTCATACTAAAGATTGTATAAACCTCAGGGCCTCGTTTGTAATACTGTGTTCTGTGCCAATAAATACACAAAATTAGTACATGTTTAACATCGACCACTTCTGGAAACATAAATAGTAAGAGCCAAAACGACGTCAGCAGTGGATATATTGGGAGCTCTGAAGGCTTCAACCGGGTCAGCGACCGCACTCCCGCCCACGCAAGCTGTCACCCACAGCCCGCGGAATACAGAGAACTGCGCCTGCGCGTAGCTGGGCATACCAGCCAGCGGGCAGTAAGGAGCACAACCACTGCCCAAGGGACTGTCAATTGGGGCGGGTAGGTGAGCCGTCTGGACCAGCAGTTGATTGGCTACAGCGTCTCTCAGCTGGGCCAATCACAGGAATCCTGATCGGGTCGCGTCTGCGCAGAGTGGCTGAGGCATCCTAAAGGGTATCCTCATCAGTCCACGAAGAGTAAAGCACTGCAGAGATAGGTTTATAAGGACTGATAACCTCACCTGAGACCACGGCTACTGCCAAGACCCTGTTTTATGTGCTAATCCACATAGGTTTTCTTTTTTTTGTTTGTTTGTTTGTTTGTTTTTTGCGGGGGTACCAGGAATAGAACTTAGGACCTTGTGAGGCAGGCGGCGGAACTGAGCTAATCCCCGGCCCTATTTATTGGCTTTTTTTTTTCCTCATTGAGTTTATTGGTATATTTTAGGTACACAGTACAGTTACATTCATTCATCATGGGATCTTGTACCTTTACATGACAGGTCTTGGTTATTTATTGGCTTTTTGAGGCTGGGTCTGGCTATGTAATTCAGGACAGTCTTGAATTTGCAAGCCTCCCAAGTGCTAAGATTACAATCGCGCATCACCGTGTCTTTTTTTTTTCTTTTTTCTTTCTTTTTCTTGTTTTTTTTCCGCCCAGTGATGACAATTGAACCCAAGGCCTTAGCAATGAGCTACATCCTCAGCCCTTTTTTTCTTCTGACGCAGTGCCTTGCTAATTTGCCCAGGCAAATCTTGAACTTGTGACCCTCTTGCCTCAATACAGAGTAACAGATTACAGCACCGTACCCAGCTTGTCATTATTTCTGTGGTGCTGGAGATAGAACCCAGAGCCTGGCGTGTGCTGGACAAATGTTTCCTCAACTCTTCTACCCCTGCCCACTGATCACTTTGAGAGGGATTCGAGTCACAGAAACTCTGGCTGTGACCACTGCGCGCAGCAGTGTCACAGCAAGTTTCAGGGGCTCTACTCAGTGTCAATCTCAGCTCTGCTGCACTCCAGGACCCCCTGTGGCTGGATGTGGTGGTGCACACCTGTGATTCTAGCCCTCTGAGAGGCTGAGGCAGGAAGATTGCAAATTCAAGCCCGACCCAGCTAACTTAGACCCAGTCTCAAAATCAAAAAGGACTGCGGTTATATACAGCTCAGGGTTCAGGTCCTGGGTTCAATCCCCAGTATTGCACATGCACAAGAAAATTAAAAATTAAGAAAAAGAAAAGGTTGTGATAAAAGAAAGAGAGCCACCTGTGGGCAGGAGCGTAGGAGTTGGGGAGAGGAGGATGCCAGACAGGAACAGGAAGGCCTCCATATGTCCCCACATAAAGAGCCCAGGACTGGGCTGGGGATTTTGCTCAGTGGCACCACACCTGCCTTGCAGGGACAAGGTCCTGAGTTCAATCCCGTACCGCAAA